TTGACTTGGGTTAATCGGCCTAAAACTCGTTACAGGGATCCTCTTAGTCGCCTAATAGAGAAAAACCTGCACTTAAGATGAAAAATAAATAAGTTTGAAAAATGTAAACAAATGTGAAAAATATGATTAGCTGAAAAAATATGGAAAATTATAAAATATAAATGCTAAAAAAAAGGGGAGAAATGTAAAAAATAATAAGTATAAATTCTATTGTACTTTCATGGTTTGACTTTCATTAGTAGGGAAATATACTTATTGACAGTGATTAGCATGTCATTTCTCACAAAATTAACGTTTGGAGTCCTATTTGCATTGGATTAGTGACACTCTACACGCATGAGTCACTTGTACTATTTACTCCATTCTGATATGAACTAAGTATATGGGAAGGTTTATGCTCTATTGATTTTACTTGTACATGCTATCAACTGCATTTTTATATTATTATGCTCTATTTGATTTTGATAGTGTTCTCTTCAGTATTTGTGACAAAAATGGGGAGAAAAATGTGTAATTGAGGGGAAGAAATGAGATGAGCTATATATAGGAGAAGTGATTTTGCATTTGCATGTGCACTGTTTTCACTGTTTGATTGACATTTTGTATTTTGCATTGCTATGTCTATGCATCATTGGGAAGAGACATAGATACATTTGTATTATTGCATCAAAATTCATGAGAGTTTTCAATAAGGGGGAGCATTGCATTACATTCCGTTCCATATCACATCCATTGCTGTTTGAGTTTTGATGTTTAGTGATATTGGTGTTTTGATTGGCATCAATGTCGCATCTCAAACTAGCATTTTGATTTATTGTTAAGTGCTTAAATTTATATATTTCCTGTATCACGTACTTTTACACTAGGTAAGTGAATTTTTGGATTTCAGGAAACAGATACAACAAGGAATGCAAGACTTAGTAATTAGGTATACTGGGTAGAATAGTTTTTTATTTTCAAGTCTTGACTTCATTTGTATAGTTTTATCACAGAATGCCAAAGAGAAAGTTTGTTATGTTTTATATTGTAACTTGTGATTTTGTGAACAAAATGGACTAAGTTGAACATGTTGTAACTAGTACTTGGGTTGAAATTTGTGTAGATGGCTTAGGCTAAGGTTGAGTTTGGAAAAAAGTAGAAGACTTGTTGGATTTTCACTAGTTGCTTGTCAAGTTGTTGCTCGAGCGGTTGAAGCACAACCATCGTGGCCTGCTTGTCGCCCTTGCGTCGCTTAAGAGAAGAAGCCGTTGCTCGCTTCTTGCTAGAGTATCGCTCGAGCGACAGTGCCACATGGCAAAACCCTAGGTCGCGACTTGAAAATTTTAAACTGCCCATGACACCTATTTGCTCCCAACTATAAATATTAGAGTCATGGATGATTTTTCTCAAGGTTGCTCATTGTGCTTTCATGTCTACAACACTTTCATATCATTGTTCAAGAGATCTAATGCGCAATTCATTGGTGAGTCCATCATATTTATTCTTGTGATCCGGCAATCGAGTTTTGTAAAAACATCAAAGGTTCGAGAATCCAAAATACCGTGCTTCCTTAATCTTTTGAGGAAATGACTCTCTCATTAGGGGATTGAGAGAGGTGGATTGAAGCACAATTATGAGCACAAGAACATGGGGTTCTTGGTGTTCTACTTGGAGAGACATTCAGCATAAGACTAGGAGGCTGTATAAGACAATAGATTGGGTTGTAGGAGGTAGATCAAGAAGTCTAGCAGGAAGCTAGAGGTATCTACTATAGCAGGAGGCTACAAGAGGTCTAGCAGGCTAGAGGGGTTTATAATAGTAGATCGTGAGATTGTAACAAAGGGTCTTAATGGGTACAAGATGTGGAATTGCTATTTATTCTTTGAACTATCTATAGTGGAGGTAACTGGCTTGCTCCCGGAGTTTTTCCCACATTGGGTTTCTCTGTCATCAAATTTTGTGTTCTTTACTTTTCAACAATTTATTAGAAACTATGGTATTCAAACATAGGGTTAATTGAATTGTATGCTTGATCATCTAGAAACTAATTAAAAGATACCTATTTCCTTTGGTTAGCACAGTTCCGCACGTAAGGTTGAACTAATCGGTAATCTGGAATGTAAACTTGATAATCTTAAAAGTTAAAGAAGTGTGTTACGTCCCAGACCCATTCTCATACAAATGTAGGTAATCGTGGATTGCAATTAATTTAGGTTTGATACCTTCACATTATTGCAGTGTGGTTCACTATGTGGATTCATGCGTTATTAGATATTTCTATGGTAATTGTGGATTGCCATAATGATAAATATATCTTAGGTAGTGGTTAGATTTAAATTGAGGACTTATTGTAACATCTCGAATTTTTCTCAATAGTAGTTTGATTTAAATTTAGGACTTTGTATACTATTATTAAAGTTTAATGACTTTATTAGTTATTGGCCTAGTCCAATGACCTTATTGTTTACTAACTAATAGTTTGAGGACCTAAGTAGAGAGTTATCTTGAATGTTAGATGAAATCATGCGTAAAATATATGTAAACATAATTTTTTATTAAAATCAAAATCACTAATTAATTTTAATCACATATTTCATGAGATTCAAACTTTTTAACTATACATTTTAGGGACTTTTATCAAAATCTGCTAAAAATCTTATTTTAATCTTTGCCAAACAGGACTATATAAAATAAATGATCAGAGTGATTTGAGACATAGCATTGAGTTGTTATGTAGGATTTTGTTTGTTTACTAAGGGTTCAAATCTCTCCTACGGGTCTTAAAGCGCTTAACTGGAGTATTTATCCTTCAACATTTGGTCTATTTAAATGATCTTTTAAAAAAAAAAAAAAAAAAAAAAAAAAAAAAAAAAAAATAAAAATAAAAATATATATATATATCTTGATAGATGGGGGGTCACTTGACCCACTAGGACCATGAGTAGGTCCGCCAATGTAACTTATCCTCCTTGATTTAATTTCAAACAATTTCTTGTCTTGTGTTGGTGAATATGAATTGTTACTTGATTTAATTCTATCATCTTTCGATGGAAAAGATTTGATTTATGGTGTAACTATGTCTATTGCATTTGATAATTAGTTTAGATGAGAAGGGTGATCAGGTTTTTCTTATTTAGTTAGAGAGCTGATGTTTTTTGTTGACGTCGGTATGGAAATCACACAATTATCCATATCTTGCTCAAGTGTTATCTAGAGCAAGTCTATTTTTTAGGGTTGAAAGAGTAATCAATTATGTCGATGTTGCATTTTTGGGTACATGAGGTTCATTTTAAATCTTTCAGTAGAGTGGGAAGAAGCAAATTTGAAGGGTTAGTGGTAACTACCCGAGCCAAAAGGCAAAAGTAATTACCTTAGGTTTTGAATTAGGCGAAGCTAGAGGATTATTCCATAAGTTTTGATGTTCACTCTGAACTCAAACAATAAAACTAAGTTCTATGGACCTGATACTACCAAAAATCGTACTTGGTGATTTCCTGAGATTGAGGATTTTGAATGAGCATGATCATAGTCTTTCGGTACCTGAAACAAAGGCAACTAGGTATGTTCTCGTCGCTCCTCCGATGCTTAAGTCAGAAAGGGAATTATGTGCGTCAAGCTATAAACTAGAGAATAATGAAAACGTACCTGACCAATAACCCATGGTCCTGTATTTATAGTAGTAAGCAGCCTTCTCCTAGTAGGACTCAACTAGTTGGGTATCTCTATCCAGCGGAGTCCTATTAGGTGAAGGAATTGGATCGATGCCATAATTATGCCTGGGATAGAATCCCTGCAGGAGTCAAGTATTAAATAATATGGTT